TTCTTCGTATTGTTACCGAAATGTCTGATATCTTGTGTCTGCCAAATGATATGTTATCGTCATTTCTGAAAATAAAAAAGCCGGGGGGCCTATGATTTAAAGAAGTCTTTTCAGCTGAAAAGACAGAATACCTATCAAATATCGCATGATACGAGCCAGACGCGCCATATACACAGGGGGTAAAGGACAAAAATATCACGTTTTTATTCCGAACCAAACCCCGTGACGCTCTTCTTTTACAAATCTCGTACATCACTATCTCTTCATTTCAAAGCGGAAAATGATTTAATTTATCGTAACAGATTTATAAGAATGTTGTCAATGGGTAAAGTAAAGGTGTTACTGATATCTATTTCTCATAACATAAATTTCCAATGGTTGTGAAGACGATTATATATATATATATATATATATATATATATATATATATATATATATATATATATATATATATATATATATATATATATAATACAAATCATATGGCCAATAACAACCCTTTCACACGTGATCCCATGGTAGGCTAGTTAGTTACTAGTTTCGTACTGTTCGTCGTCAGTTTATTGCATCTATTTTAATTAATCCCTGACACACGTGATCCCTTGGTAGGCTAGTTAGTTACTAGTTTCGTACTGTTCGTCGTCAGTTTATTGCATCTATTTTAATTAATCCCTGACACACGTGATCCCTTGGTAGGCTAGTTAGTTACTAGTTTCGTACTGTTCGTCGTCAGTTTATTGCATCTATTTTAATTAACCCCTGACACACGTGATCCCTTGGTAGGCTAGTTAGTTACTAGTTTCGTACTGTTCGTCGTCAGTTTATTGCATCTATTTTAATTAATCCCTGACACACGTGATCCCTTGGTAGGCTAGTTAGTTACTAGTTTCGTACTGTTCGTCGTCAGTTTATTGCATCTATTTTAATTAACCCCTGACACACGTGATCCCTTGGTAGGCTAGTTAGTTACTAGTTTCGTACTGTTCGTCGTCAGTTTATTGCATCTATTTTAATTAATCCCTGACACAAGTGATCCCTTGGTAGGCTAGTTAGTTACTAGTTTCGTACTGTTCGTCGTCAGTTTATTGCATCTATTTTAATTAATCCCTGACACAAGTGATCCCTTGGTAGGCTAGTTAGTTACTAGTTTCGTACTGTTCGTCGTCAGTTTATTGCATCTATTTTAATTAATCCCTGACACACGTGATCCCTTGGTAGGCTAGTTAGTTACTAGTTTCGTACTGTTCGTCGTCAGTTTATTGCATCTATTTTAATTAATCCCTGACACACGTGATCCCTTGGTAGGCTAGTTAGTTACTAGTTTCGTACTGTTCGTCGTCAGTTTATTGCATCTATTTTAATTAACCCCTGACACACGTGATCCCTTGGTAGGCTAGTTAGTTACTAGTTTCGTACTGTTCGTCGTCAGTTTATTGCATCTATTTTAATTAATCCCTGACAAAAGTGATCCCTTGGTAGGCTAGTTAGTTACTAGTTTCGTACTGTTCGTCGTCAGTTTATTGCATCTATTTTAATTAATCCCTGACACAAGTGATCCCTTGGTAGGCTAGTTAGTTACTAGTTTCGTACTGTTCGTCGTCAGTTTATTGCATCTATTTTAATTAATCCCTGACACACGTGATCCCTTGGTAGGCTAGTTAGTTACTAGTTTCGTACTGTTCGTCGTCAGTTTATTGCATCTATTTTAATTAATCCCTGACACACGTGATCCCTTGGTAGGCTAGTTAGTTACTAGTTTCGTACTGTTCGTCGTCAGTTTATTGCATCTATTTTAATTAACCCCTGACACACGTGATCCCTTGGTAGGCTAGTTAGTTACTAGTTTCGTACTGTTCGTCGTCAGTTTATTGCATCTATTTTAATTAATCCCTGACACACGTGATCCCTTGGTAGGCTAGTTAGTTACTAGTTTCGTACTGTTCGTCGTCAGTTTATTGCATCTATTTTAATTAACCCCTGACACACGTGATCCCTTGGTAGGCTAGTTAGTTACTAGTTTCGTACTGTTCGTCGTCAGTTTATTGCATCTATTTTAATTAATCCCTGACACAAGTGATCCCTTGGTAGGCTAGTTAGTTACTAGTTTCGTACTGTTCGTCGTCAGTTTATTGCATCTATTTTAATTAATCCCTGACACAAGTGATCCCTTGGTAGGCTAGTTAGTTACTAGTTTCGTACTGTTCGTCGTCAGTTTATTGCATCTATTTTAATTAATCCCTGACACACGTGATCCCTTGGTAGGCTAGTTAGTTACTAGTTTCGTACTGTTCGTCGTCAGTTTATTGCATATATATATATATATATATATATATATATATATATATATATATATATATATATATATATATATATATATATATATATATATATATATATATAATTAGAAGTCTCTGCTCTGAAAATAAGTAACAGAAAAGAGTGAATCACATAAATATATATAATTCCAGGTTTGAATATAATGTACTTTCCAGTGCATGTCTCTAAGAATTTTATCAGAGTACTTTTGTATTTTCAAGGAAAATAATCACTTGAATTCAGTGACCTGAAGTAAAAGATTCCAGCCCCAAACCACTGGTCACAACGTATAATATGCTACATGAAAGTGCTAGATGTTGAAATATGAATTACCAAGTCCTCACAATCATAAGATTATATGGTTCTCTACTTGACCTCAGGCCACAATTAGCATTTTGTTTTAAAAATCTATAAAAAGAACATTACATAAAGGAAAAAAACCTTCTAGAATGATCCTTATGCTGACAAGATCAAAAACATAACCTGTAAAATTCACTTAGAAAAGTCCAAATCCCTGACCCAAATAAACATCTTTGTTTAATAAAAATCCTGATATTAAGCCATACACATATAAAATAATTTAGCTATGTAATATTTGTTTACTTAAATTTAATTTTTAAAATGGTCAACCAGGTCAAGCAGAAATGAACTCGACCTTTGACAAGGTCAAGTCTAACATAAAATATTATATTACAATAGCATGTAATGAAATATTTTTTAAACTAATAAACAAACATATAAATTAAATCTCCTGATCATGAAATTATGATATGTAGACGCAAACCAAAACGATGGATCTTCCTGGGTTCCTCCTCCACGATATATACTAACCGTCATGTATCATGTACTGTCAATGACATAGTTCGATGAACCACCAATCCATGGAAAGCTACTATCTTGCACACAATGGTGGAGCCCGAGATTCGAACCTAAGCGGACTGACGGAAGATATCAGCGAGCTGTAAAGGCAAATGCATTAAACCACTTGGCAATTAAACCACTTGGCTATTCCGGACACGAGCAATTTGTCATTGTGTATAAATACGCCGTTAACAATATGAATGTACAGGCGGAAGTGGCTGTTCGATGATTCAAGATTCCCGGGGATAATGTTCTTTAGAGGTTACATTGCTTTAATTAGAAATTTTTGTCAGATACTAACCTGTAAGAAGTGCCATTGTTACACTAAAGTGAAGCTGATATGCTATGAAAATTTCAGCTTCAAGTACAATAAAATATAAACAAAAAACTGAACAAAATAAAGCTTCCAATGGCGCCTGAAAGCAACACACGCACACGTTATCACTGACAGGCAATAAATGTCAGCAGTATCAAATTAAAGTGTGTTTCTCATGTCCCCATCTAGAAGATTTACATAATTGTACGATGGGCAACGTACCTGCTCTCCATTTTAGTGAGCAATAGGCCTGAACTTAATTTATAACAAAAAATGATAAACTGTTCATTGAATTGATAATATGCAATTTGATTGTTGCAAATTACACATTGTGCCACGGGGATGTGAATTCAGAACTATAATATATAAACAGGAGGCAGAAGAAGACGAATCTCACACTTTAGTCACTTGTGTTCTCAGTTTGCACATACTTAAGGAAACTTAAATCCATCTACATCAATATCACTTAGGTCTCGTTAGATACTTTCGTATTTTGTCAGTACCCTAATGTTTAGGGTAGAAGGCATGAACCTAATTATGATAAGCCTAACATTTATAAATTCACACAGAAACTAAATCTGTAATGTGGTTTAGATTTACTTTGAGTTAGGCTTGAGAATGGGTTGGCTTGTTTGGTGACTGCCTGTCACAGTTAGACTAGCATTGGCGATCAAATGCCTAACTGCAAATGAACAGCCAACTTGGCTTACGTATTTACGTAAGTCTGCTACAGAGGCATATATCTAAAAAAAAATCGAGATGGTTGAGGGGTGATTGTCGGATACTGTCTTCAGCTTTGTTGGGGAGGGTTACCTGGTTTTGGTTATCGTTATCTAGAGGTGATCGTTGACGGTGTAATTTGCCCGGAACGAGTAAATATCAATATTGTCGTAACCCCCTCATCAACTTTGTTGTGCTGGGTTACTTGATTTTGGCTGTCGTTATCTAGAGGTGATCGCCGACAGTGTAATTTGCCCGGGATGAGTAAATGTCAGTATAAAGTATGAAACTTATGGGTGGAATAAATACAGATTTTAGCAGATATATACAACAGAATAATGCGAGCCCCCGTTACAAATAAAGATAAAATTTAATCAAAATTCATAACAATAAAATCATAAACAAGGGTGATAAACGTGACAATTTGAAAGATATAATCAATTTATTCAAGGAAGTTCAAAATGCAAATAAGATTATACCAATAGCCGATCACGATAGAATTAATTCATCATTAGATCGAGGGAAAGATTGAAAAACACCGCCTTGTATCGATTCATAACCTGATGTCTTGCCTCAGTGTTAAGTTCACACCGACTGTTTCTTTTGACTTCCTTGTGCCGGTAAGTCTGGATCTTATCCACTTTTTTACTTCCTTTTTCAAATTCTGTTATCTCGCCTCTTTCGACACTTCTAACTTTGTGTAGCCCTTTTTGGGTTCGTAAATCGTGAGACGTCCTGTAGCTATCTCGCCTTGTAAAAATATAAACAAAAGCACCCTAAATCTTCAGGCACTGCTGCGGTTGCCTAGTGGTTAGAACGTCCGCCTCGGATACGGGAGGTCACTGGTTCGAACCCCGATTGAGTCATACCAAAGACTAAAAATGGTACTAACAGCTGCCTCGCTTGGCGCTCAGCATTAAGAGGTTAGTGTTAGGACTGGTCGGCCTGGTGTCAGGATAATGTGTCTGCGGCATAATGCTCCTGTGCTAGACATCACTATAAACTGTCACACTGCAGACATCGTAGGGAATCTAGCGATATGACTGAAAAATTGTGAAAGCTACGTTAAAAATCTGAAAACATCGGTTGCCTACGCGATTCCTGGTGACATTCAGAAATGACAATTTTCCATACAGATCAGATCTAACCCCTATCAAGTTCAGCTTAAACAAACGTAGGCCTTACTTAAATATCGATAACTCATGACAGAGCAGGTACCAATCAGTGCATTACGCGATTTAAACCCACGCAGTTCTCAATAAATCTAATTAATCTTACTCGTGTCCAAATAAAGATTTCCTGCAAAGATCAACAACAAAAATTTGCTCCATTACAAATATAAAGTGTGAAACTGATGGGTAAAATAAATAAAAATCTGAGCAGATATATAGAACATAAAAACACGAGCTACCGTTACAATTAAAGACAAAATATATTCAAAATTCATAACAGTAAAATTAATTTTTTTTAAAAAAATTGTGATAATGCGTTACAATGTGAAAGATGCACTTCTTTCTTTTTGAATTAGATTATTCAAGGAATTTCAGATACAAATATAATTATAACAATAACTGATCTGTTGGACGATATAATTAATTCATCATCGAATCGAGTGAAAGGTCGAAAATATTGCCTTGTATCGATTGATAACCTGACGTCATGACTCAGTACAAATTCCACAGCGCACAGGTCTCCATAAATTTAATTAATCGTACACGTGTACTAAATGGGTTCTACAGAGATGGACAACAAAACAGAGATCAACAGAAAAAATTGCTCATTTAAAGTGATGAAAAGTATGCTAATTTTTATAGTACTAGTGAACTTTATTCATGCATAAGGTGCATACTAATTATTTTAGATGCCTTGTCAAAGGAAAATATTCAAGATAGCTCTTAGCTGTAAAAATGAATGTAACAAAGAGGGGTTGGTGGCGGTGATGGTTTAATATAAAAGCCACCAGTTGTATAAGGAATTAACCCAAATTTTTGCAGTCCAAATCTCACATGCATGCTTCTACTAAAATCATGAATTGGTTTTTATTTGTATCTTAAGTGTAAACTTATTCTCATTTATCTGTAATAGGTCATTGCTGGATGAAAATTCACCAGATAAACTGTTCAGTGAGACCTTATCCAAATTACCGGATTGCGGAACTCAGATGTCGCTTTGATGAGTATCAACAATCAAACCAAAAATAGACCCAGACTATTTAATCTCTCCGGAAAGAATTATATGTCCTCACCGAACAATATATTGCAATAAAAGCGAAAACTTAACAGTTAGAAATAAAATTAAAAACAAAATTATTAAGCTAAATTTTATCTACAAATAAGTTCACGCCCAAACTCGTAAAGACACTTTAAGTTTTATCATAACAATTATCCAGCATACCCACGTCATTCTATGTTTGTGGAAATCTAAATAACGAAGTGAATAACCACACATAATCAATCCAGGAAAGATTCTGAAAGAAACTGCCAATTACAATAATAGCACTAGACATATAGAAAAGGAAGTCTTTTTATTTTATCCAGTATCATAAGTAACAGACCTGCACAAACCAATTACTGAAAAGGATCAAAACTTTAAAGTAATCGAGGAATAATCGTGGTCGATCTTTTTCAGCTTAAAGAAGCTGTAAGACTAAGCAGTTTCTAAGCATTCTTTACTAGGTCAACAGTTGTACAAAGTCGACCAGAGAGCAACGATTAATGTACACGAAATGCATCGCAACGAGGCGACAAAGGAAACAGAAATCAAAGTGCAATATATAATCAGTAGCGATTGCTCTAAAAAAAACCCAGTCTCATATTTTCATAAGTGTCTTGCAGGAATACACTAAGAGAATGAAAATGTATACTAACATTGTATTTTAAAAATCTACTCAAAAGCTTTTAAGATATTCACAATTAATTGACACACTTTAATTCTGTACAAATTTAATTTTGTCAATTCCAAAATGAACTTTATGGCAGAAGCGAATATGTAGATGAATGTATCAGACGGAATGAGATTTAGTGGCGTCATAACTATACCCATCAGTGAGAATTTTGCAGCCCAGACAATTTACGCTAATGTTTGCAACACAGAAAATAGTAGCGAAGATGAATTTAGGCTATGTAGACAAATTAAAACCAGTTAATAAGGTTATCATACTGAAACCATTTCCATATGCCACAGCTTTTCACAATAACTGAAAAAGATTTTTTTTCAAAAACTCGCAATTTTATTCCCGAGATGATGTTAAGCAATGTCCTTTTTGATCCTGAAATTAAATTATATCTAATTTAAATCATAACTATTCCAAACTGTCAACTGTGTGTCCTATAGTTGCATTACCAAACTGGACTTCGCGGAGTCAAGAGGCATACACGTATAGCAACAGCTTATAATTCTGGTCATCGATAACAGAAAATAATTCCTAATTAAAGCGTTGAAAGGCAAAACTTTGGTAAATAGATTTCTACACATTTTACATTTATCACCTCTGTTTTTCATGTGTTTTCTTCACTTGGCATGGAACTCGTCGTTTTCATTCCGAGCCACATGACTACACAACTCTCGCGACCTACATGGCAATTATTCAGAGTTCAAATAGTCACGTCATATCAACGATTAACCATTTCAAATTTGCTGTAGGAAAAAAAAATCGATCAAATAAATTGAAGTCACTTAATATTTATAGAAAAATAGAAGAACATAAACTTCTAAAAATATTTATTCTGGAAACTGCGTCCAGAAATCTGTAAATGTAGCATAAACTTGAAGACACCCTTCCACACACACACACACACACACACACACACACACATACACACATACACACACACAAACACACATACAGATTCAACAAAACGGAGAGCTCATATCAACATGATTGTCACGTGATACCAACAAAATACATTGCTGACACGTGCTTAGTATTTGATGAATCTGGTTTTATCCACCTGCGATACCGAAAGGTTTTTAGTCGTTTTTCTCAGAATAAATATGTTGAGAATTAGGTCTGCATTATATTTATGTACAAGTATTACGTGATTTTTCGTTAATATTTTCGAATTTTATATACAACAACTTCCGAAATGGTTTATTGTTGATATCACGTGATTATTAGACCTCTGGTGCCATTGACGTGTAGGTTGCGAGATTTGTGTAGTCATGTGACTCGGAATGAAAGGACGGGTTCCTGGTCAAATTTCATCAACGCTATAATTGCATCTCGTCTAAGCGAATGAAAGATATAATCAATGCTACAGTGGCTATTTCTGAGAAAATAAATCATATTCCTATCGATTCTTTTCAGGTATATCTCGATTTAAGGTCATTAAAAATTTGCTACGCAAGCTAGTAAGCACCTACCCTATCCCGACACCAAATGCTGTCGACGAATTTAAATTTTTAGCGAATGGGCTCTGACCCTACACCCCAACATAAATGTCCAAATATCAAATGGGGTGGCAAGAGTCAGAGGAAACTCGGACTAACTAATAGCGTGTTTCAACCGCTGATTATATTGTATATGACTTTTGGAATAGAATGGAAATATGTTTAACTGGGAACAGAACGTGTTCCGTTAAAAAGGGAAATTTCTGGAGTTCACAAATTTGACGGAATTATATTCAAAGCCATGTATTACGTATTCTTAGTAGGATAATTTAACCGGAAATCTTTACCGGGCACAGAGGTACTTAGGGGATGAAATGTCCTTGACATTAGACGTAATACCAAATAAGCATCTTATCTTTAAATATTTTATCTAAAAAATGTAGACCTGTTGAATTAAATTTTGAAGTAAGAATGTGTTCCAAAGGGATTAAGGTAGGTGGGGTTATTATAAATATCAACAATGGCAACAACGGTAAAGAAGGAAGTGTGTCAATTAAAGACATGGTCCATTAATGCCAACAATATGTAAAGGTTTCGAAAAAAATGCACAGTAGAAAAACAACAATATGCCTCGGTATGTGTAATATTGATTTTCCTTCACAGCAATATCAATGTTAAGAAATTCTTGAGTCTTGAGTTATCTAACAATAGCTTTTAGTTTACGATCATAGGTTTTAAGAGACCATCCATCAGAGTTCTGAAGTTAATGGGAAAGCTTTTATTCTCATGCTTGATACAGCGAGAGCTTTTGATACCGTGTGGCATGAAGGAATGACGCACAGTAATCCAGTTGTTGAAGATTGCTGACATCGTATAGCAATAAATCAATATAATTTACAAAAACGATTAGACCAAGCTTAACTTTTCTCCACAATGTGGCTTTTTGAAATTTATACCCGAGAAACCAAAATCAGAAGATGAGTAATGCTTTCTAGTAGGTAATCGAATGGTGTTTAATAACCAAAATGTTTACAAGCCTTGGTCTATTGAAATCAATCGCAAGGCCATAAAATATAGAAGAGCTATAATGAAACTAGCTAATGTTGATATAAGACATCATGGATAAAATCTCAGTAGACCTTGCTCCAAGTCTTGGGGGAGTTAACGAATAAAGGAATGAACTTGGATTAACAAAATTGGACCAGTTGTCTAAATTTCAATATTTTGTGAGGAAAAAAAACAAAAAATAAAACAGGTTTGGTTTCAAGAAGTCGTTCCAACATGCAGATATATGTTTCAGTCATATGACGTTACCAATAAAAATTGAGAAATAATGTTAATGTTGATAAAAGGTAAAGAGATTAAATCGATACGTTATCGTGTTAATCATTCACAAATCAAATATGATTTTACACACGGAAAATTTCTGGCAACTTGTAGTCGAATATGAACTGTCTATGAAAGTGATGGAGCACTTTCTCATAACGTTACGAGCAGTGAATTTACCGAGCATTGTAATCTGTCCAGTCCATTTTTT